TTTTATTTTGACAACCCTTTTGCCACCTGGTGTTATCAAGACGCATCACATGAGCAGTGTTGCTGCAGTCAAGTTGGAAGTAAGTTGTTCTTTGAACTTTGTTTTGCTGCTTTGTTTCTGCATTTCTGCTGCAAAGCAGTTCTGAATTTAGTCACAGCGAATGACTGAGTAGCATTTTTCCCTTCTTTCTGTTCTATAAGTGTTGAAGAGTCAGTGCGTTGAATGCAGAGTGAGCAAGGCATTTCATACACTTGATAACTTGTTAGGGATAAGACTAAAGCTTTTGGTTCAGCGTTATGTACAGTATATAATCTGTAGTGGATGTACATTTGAGCTCCAATGTGCTGACATTTAGCACCAAAACAGTGATTTATAGACTGGTAGGTAGCTTTGAATATCTTGCTTACCCTGTACTTCCTCTGACTGGCTGGCCATTTTATGAGAAACACCTCCCTTATAGCTCCACTCTATGAATGTACAACTACAGACTTGTCAAGCCCCCTCTATTTCACTCATCATTGGTCAGTTTTTTAACACAGGACTGCTGTTGACTGGATTGTGTGTGTTATGAGTGTATTAGGCATTTGGGTCTTTCTAGGATTTTTTACAATTCAGCATCACTGCTAAGTTGACAGTGGCCCACCACTCAAAAATGTCCAGCCAGGAACAGCTCTGTGCGACCACTAATGTAGGATAAGAAGTTGGCTAACACCAACTGTTCATCATCAGACTGGCTACAGTCTCTAAATGTACACCAGCAAGGTGTTTGTAGTAAAGTGGCCAGTCAGTGAAATGGCTCACTCATAAACCTTTAGCAAGTTATTCATTTAAACTGATTTCAAAGGTAAACTAACATTTCACATTGCTTTCTTTTGCATGTATCTAAATACCATGCATTGAAAAAGCACACTGGGGACATGCTGTGTCAAATCATATGCTCATATATGTGGTATATATGATGTATCATCAACGTACTACACATTTTAAATAAGTAGTCTTAGTTTTGGATAATATACTGTAATCCCACAATATACAGTACTGTTTAGCCTAAAAGTCTGAGACCACCTCTCATTTTTTCAATTTCCAGTCAAAATGGCTGGAATGAATGAAGAGTGTATGCAATCTCTCTTTGTTTTTCGTGCCTTTTTCCAGCATATCTACCTATCCTTGCTTTAATATCAAAGTGGGTCTATTATGTATTTACACTTATATTACATTTATATTTATGATGCTATATCACAGTGTGCAAGGGTTGTAGTTGAGGTAGCCACTTATCTATCCATCTATGTCTCAGTCCACTCCACAGGCTCCAGCTGAAAATCATGGGCAGATTGGACGGCAAAGTTATCGTCTTGTCTGCAGCTGCCCAAGGAATCGGGAGAGCTGCTGCTATAGTAACCATTTACTTTATCACCAGCACACATAACACAGGAACCTATCAACACAACAGAACACTCACTCTGCAGCCTATTGAACCTTTTACATTTGGTCCAGGATCCATGCACTGATACCATCATACACCACTGACTAAAGTAGTTCAGTGAACAAAATCTAATATATACAATTTATGTAGTTAATAAAACAAGAAATGTTTGTTATCTGATGTTTGTTTCTGTAGTTTTGCGCTAAAGTTATGAGGCTAATGTTACAAGTAATAGAAATACCTAATAAATATCTTCATGCAAACTGAATGCCTGAATCATTACATACTTGCCTCAAGCGGTGTTAAGTTGCTTATGTCATTTCTGATGTTGACATGCTGTTATCTATAAAAATGAATAAAAGTACAGACACAATTCACAGTTTTTGCCATGCAACATATTTTTGTCCATTTTATAGACAATAGCTGTTAGAACTAAGCTTTTAGTTTGGGCCATAAATGTCAAAATTAATGAATTAATATGTGGCGACTATTGACTACAAAAATTTCAACATTGTTATAATCGTTACGTACCTACCAATACCGGAAATTCTTTCAAGACCAATTTTAAAATGATTGGATCAGAATCCTAAGGCTAGTTTGAAATGGGCTGTTTTCAAATGATGGAAGATTCCATTCACTGCAGTTTGTATGAAGCTAAGCCATGGCTCATAGCTTCCATTACTTGTTATTTACATTAGTCTTGTAGCTACCACACACCAAACACGTCTTAGCTGATCGACTGCATTTGAATTAAGGGGGAAATTGTGCTTGCTGGTTATGCCGCAAGCGGGAAAAACAATTTTTTTGTGCATAATTGAGCCTACATTGAAAGCTGCAAAGTTTCTTCTTTTTTGTCAGCTTTTACCAGTGATTTTAAATATGTTTTTCAAATGGTAATTTGACCTTCAGTTTCAAGTATTTTGGTCTCTCTCCATTCAAACAGACTGTAGTCTGGTCTTGCATGAGTGGAAGTAACTGCCCTGCGGCATTGCAAAGACAACTGCCTAGTGAACAGACTTTCCTAGAAGTACTTTGATTTTATTCCACTCTGCTACTGGAGCTGGTTCTGCTGTATCATGTTACATGAATCAGTCAGAATCCATTACAGCTAAATTTGTGTGTTAAATAATGGAAGTGACAGAGTGAGGTTACCACTGCCTCAGGCTCAGCAGCAAATTGCTGGCCGTTCAATATAAAGGCTGTGAAAGCAAGGCATTTTCACTAGCAAGCCCACACTCCAAAACCTTACTTAGCTTCACTGAAGAATGAAATTTACACAATCTTCCCCTCAGCCAAGACATGTTTAGGATCTGACGTTTGTTCTTTAGAGCCTAATGTAGCTAACAAGTGATGGACAGCTTATAGTCATCAGTTAGCATTGTATAAACTGCTAATCATCAAAAACCGCTAATTTGTTAAGTAATCTCAAATAGACTTACTAATGTGGTTGCTGACATTGTGTTGCGTACTGCTATCTAGAAAATGGACAAAAGTAAGCTAAAAATGCTAAAAACAGCAGAAGCCATCTTGAAGTCTGCAATCTTCTGTATTTGTTCATTTATATAGATAACAGTATGGTATACAGTATCAGAAACCACATAAGTCTTTTTACCTCACAGCTAAACACAGTTTGAACAAGTATGTGATGAAGCATGCAGCACAGTGCTAATTATTGAGGTACTAGCTTCCTTTGTTTGTTAGCTACATTAGCCTCCCTGTTAGAAAAAAAAACAGCATAGACCTGCATGTCTGCTCACCAGCAAAACCAGCATATGTTGTGGTTTTTATGCTGGTCAGCAGCAATGAAAGTTATTAGGCCACCATCAGCAGAACCTGTGTATGTTGTGTTTTGAATGCTTGCATGCTAGTCAGCTTGCATGGCCATGCTAGGTGACCATCTAAACCAGCACTTAGACCAGCATGGTATGCATGTCCTTTCTTGAATTTGTCTTCGTTACCTTATAAAGTTTAAAATCACTGATTAGTTAAAGCGTATTAAGCCATATATTGTGTATCATCCATATATTGTATTTCATTTAGAAGTATTTGTATATATGCAGTTCATTGTGCTACATAAGAACATCTCTTCCATTTCTGCGCTACAAATGCAAGAGCCTCGTTAGGACGGTTCTATTTGTGTGCCCAATAGGCTACTAAGGAGGAGTCTTCACAGGACAGTCCTACCGAGGACCCCTACCTCGGCTACAGCCTAGGCTGTGGAACGCGTCTCTTGTTTTTGCTATTTTACAACATTAGTAAAGACATCAGAACTATAAAATAACATATCACTGCTGTCAGAAGAAAACCTCGTATCTCTGTTTTGGTCTTTTGCCTGTAAAGTTATCATTTTGGAGATACGAGGTTTTCTTCCGACAACAGCGATAGAAGGAATTCTACAGAGCCCAAAAAGACATTAAAACTATTGCCTATTTTAGATTCTTCGAAGTAGCCCTTCTTTGTCTTGATGCTGCTTTCCACACTCTTTTGGCATTCTCCCAGGCTTTGTGACATGCCTGCTGGGATGCTTTTCAGGCTTAAAGAAGATACACATATGCTGGTAGCTAGTTAGCTCTGATGCTGTTCATCCGACGGCCTCATAATTGTATTCGCCGTGTAAATAGATTCAAGGATTTAAACATAAGCATTTAGATCAAAATGCCTTTACCTTATGAAAAATGTACAATTAATCAGACATGTCCAGACGTTTGGCTGGTAGCAGAACGGCTGCAGTTTAGCACATGGCGTGCATGGCAATTTGGAGGATTGTGAAGAAAGATCAAAGGAAAGTGATTCTTTCCTGAGGTGTGGGGTGGGGGTGTTATGTTATAGCCAATGCATGGTGGCTTTTTCATTCTCTTAGCCTGCCACGCTGCTCAGGTAATTTATTTAAAATGCATTTGGAGGAAGAAGAATCAGTTTGTAATTACATTCGAAGCACAAATGGATTGAGCTGTCAATTCCATTGCTTTTCACAAGATCCTTTGTAGGGTAGTCATCATGAAAGCTAAAGGTGTCCCTTTTAGCTCCTAGCCACAAAAAGCAGCGACATACTGTGTATCACATTGCTCACATTTCTGTCTCTTATTGCATGAAATTTAGACATGGTCTTGATTTTAAACATGAGCATTTTTTTTTCCAGGCATTTGCTAAAGAAGGAGCTCAGGTCACGGCTACGGACATCAATGGAGAGAAACTGAAAGAACTGGATGGCACTCCAGGTAGAGTAGTGCTGCCATCTACTGATACAAGTTGGTAAAAAGACCTTAAAAGACAAGAAGAAGAAGAAGTTGTTATTTGCTATGTGCAGTGTTACTTAGTTTTGGTTTCAGTTAACAGTTTGCATTATACAGTAGTGGTGTAAATGCTACAATAAACTCAATTCAATTCAAAGATTCAATTTAGTTACGATTCTTTAGAAAATGATTCAGTGAATCATGAAACCTTAAATTTCTCTAATTTGATTTATTTGATTATTTTGGTTTGATTCATAATTCTGAGAACTCAAATGAGATTGAATTAACTATTTACATGGTAGTTGCTGTTTTTGTACTGTTTCCACAGCACAGTAATAGCTATATACAGTCATTTGCAAAGGTTTGAACACAGCTGGTTAAAATTACATGTTTTATTTTTATCAAAACAAAGTAAAAATAAATTAACACATCCTCTACAAATAACACACTTCTGCACAGTTTAATGCCCAGTTACTGTTTATTTGCTGAATTTAACATGTTTAGCAAATATATGGAATAAGATAAAACATAAAATGAGACCCATACAAAAGTTAAGGCACATTTAATATATATATATATATTTTTTTGTATTTTATTTTTTTCCCCAATATGTTAAGCTCAAATATATCTGCAGAAAATAATGCTACATTTAGGTATGTTTCCTGAAGACGCATTAACCTACTCTCATCGAACATGTTTGACCAGAAGTGTTAAAACTTTTACATACAGCTGTATTGAATCGCTAAATAATCCTAATCACTTCCTGAGCTCTGTTAATGCATTTGAGCCAGTCAGAGTTGTTGTGACAATGGTTACCACAATAGCCTTATTTGGCACAAAGACGGCATTTCTGATTGTAGTAATTTTGTTTAGTTCTGATGTCTTCACTATTGTACTGTGCATTAAAATATGTGTTTTTTTGGATATTCTTATTTGTGACAAATGGCAAATAACTGGCTACCTTATACACACGCCACATGAAGATTACAAGGCAAACTGGTGCCAAATGACTAAATGACAACAGTCTGTATTTGTGTCGGTTGTAAAAGAAAACCGCGTGATGAACATCACGCTGTCATACGTGATCTTTAACTTAATCCAGTTTGTACTCATTGAACTTGAATAACTGTATGTGCTGAATTTTTCTATCCTATGATGTTGTTTCAGGTCAGTGATCCACTTCTTAGTTTTCTGTGTGTGCCCTTTTCTCATCCCCTCTAATCCTATTATTTCCCTGTGATGGATCTCCTTTTCTATGTGCTTCTGAGTGTGAAAATGTTTTCAACTGATTTCTTTACATTTCCTTCATTTTTTTTCTGTAGGGATTAAGACCAAAGTGCTTGATGTGACCAAAAAGGACCAAGTGGAGGCACTGGCTAAAGAGTTTGACCACATTGATGTGCTTTTCAACGTGGCAGGGTAGTTACTTTAGATCCATGAATTTTTTTTTTTTTTCAACTTTATTTTATTACCTTATAGGACCAGACACTGGTCAGTGATTACACGCTATTATATAGATGTAAATACAGCATATTATAATGGTATGTAATTAAGATTGTATTGGTTTTTTTATTGTACTTCTGCACCAAATACACTAAATATACAACGAAAACACAAAGATGCATCATAGAATCCTAGTAAAATCAGCTCTTTTTTTGTATATTTGTTATATTGTATACAATAATATCTTAATGTATTGAAAGAGCAGTGTTTTCCACTCCTGGCCCTGGAGGCCCCTGCTCTGCACATTTTAGTACTTTCCTGTTTTAACACCCTCTTAAAATCATCAAGGGGTTCTATTACTGAGTTTTTATGTCACTGTTACTGTACGATTAGTATATTACTAAGTATGAGCAAGTTTTACATGATTTAAAATTAAAGTACTTTAACTATTTCCAATTTATGTGCCTCAAGATTTTCAAACATGAGGCATGCTGTATATTCATTAAATTTTAATTTAATTATATTCTCATTTTTAATGTTATACAGTTTTCACAGACATTTTAGGAAACCTAAAATTTCTAGATTTTTTTTTACAGCTTCTTACGTTTCATACTAATAATAACAAAGCAAACAACTAGCATATTAGAATACCTCTTATACATTTAACTTTAGATCATTAATACATCTGTTAAAAACCTTTAGAACTAGAATAGAGTCATGTGCAAAAGTTTGAAGGTTTGGTACATTTTCTAAGTGAAAGTAAGTTAATGTGTCCTCTGCAGAGAACAAACTTAAATGTGGTATTTTTCAGCAAATTTTATTGCACAGTTTCTATTCATTTGCTTTATTCAACATTTTGGAAAATGAAATATAAAATATAAAATAACTGTTTTTTTTTTATTGGCTAATGTGTTCAACTCAGCAAATAAACAGTAAATATGTGTATTGTATGTGTTGTGTTCTCATGGAGGATAAACAAATGTCCTGTAATTCTGCACTGACTAGTTATAGCGAAGTTAGGAACTTGATAACTGACCTCATTACATTAGCTTTGAGTGTAACCTTAACATACAACATACAAGATGGTTTTCTTCTTTGTCAGCTTCCTCATTTTAACTGAAAGCCACAACAGTACACTGTTTCTGAAATTACAGTAGACATTTTGTACCCTATTTGCTCATGTTGCTGCTCATATTAAGCATGATTCATCATATCATTGTGCATCGGTGGCAGAGAAAAACAATATTAATGAGTGTTGTAATGTTTCACCACCCAACTATCATCAAGAGAAATGCTCAGCTAGCTCAGAGACTCTCACCTAGTACCATGTTTCACTGTGTTCTGAGTATAAGTTTCATCCTCTGCCTTCTAATTCTCCTGACCCTCTATGGACTCCCCCCAGATTTGTTCATCACGGCACTATCCTGGACTGCGAGGAGAAGGACTGGGACTTCACCATGAACCTTAATGTCCGCAGCATGTACCTGATGATCAAGGCCTTTCTGCCCAAGGTGACCTCGTCCTTCTCTTTACTGGATTAGCTCAGAACATATGCCCCTCTCTCAATGTCTGCACTTATCTCTGTGCACGATACTGACTCATTCAGACACACAGGTTTTTTTTGGCTGTCTTTTCTGCTCTGTGGGATTAGGAGTGCAACAGAAAGGTCAGCTCCTAATCCCTCTTACAAACTGGAAAACAGAAACAAGGACAAATTGCCAGGTTGCAGTGACCCTCACTGCTATTGAAGGAACACAGACATACTTAAAAATATACTTAAGGCAAAAATGAGTTGTATCTGAACAAAATGTACATGTATTTTGCTTAATGACTGTGATAAATTGGACCTGGATCTCGTAATGCGTTCCCCTAGTATGATTGATTGATCCATTTTTTATCCACACAGATGCTGACCCAGAAGTCTGGGAACATCATTAATATGTCATCTGTGGCATCTAGCATCAAAGGTAATTTGTTTTATGCATGCTTGTATATTTTATATGTGTAATTCAGTGTAATAATACCAGCTTTTTCACATCGGCTTATTGTTTTTCTACATTTCAGCCATTCTGATCTGCTGATTGTCGTTAGCCAATGTGTGATGGTTCATTCCTAACTGTTTTTTCTAGGTGTTGTGAACAGATGTGTGTACAGCACATCTAAAGCTGCTGTCATTGGGTTAACCAAGTCTGTAGCTGCTGATTTCCTCGAGCAAGGCGTCCGCTGCAACTGCATCTGCCCTGGTAGTTTGCTAAAGAATATAGGAATATTTTGTGTCATTTTAGTGCTTTCTCTTTAATATGAGATCATTTTACGCTTGCTCATCACTAGCTTTCCTTTAAGTTACAGCACTGTAATTCACTCCTTTTCTCTCTACAGGGACTGTAGACACACCATCATTAAGGGAAAGAATCCAGGGCAGGCCTGATCCAGAGCAGGTACATCTATGTCTTAAACGAAATCAGATCTCGTCCTTGCTTAATTCAAATAAAAGAGTTTGAAGTACTGTTTAAATATTGTTTCAGAACCTAACATTCAGTCCCCTGTCCATACGGTGCATATATATAAAAACTAACAGTCTGTGGTTGTGATGTCATAACCATGAACACATGTACTTATTAATCCTATAGCAGGTTAGCCCTGCCCATTCAGGTTGAAGTGATGAGGAGTGTTGTTTACAGCATGTATGGTGACCAGATAGTATTCATAAAAAGCAAACATGCACTTAATGAAAAGCAAATGTTCATTAGTAAAGAGCAAGGTTAGCTTTTCTGCATCCTGTTGTGAACCTCATGTCTGTTTATCATCCTCCATTCTAAGGCGTTTAAGGACTTCATGGCCAGGCAGAAGACAGGCAGGATGTGCACTGCAGAAGAAGTGGCTCATCTGTGTGTTTACCTGGCTTCGGACGAGGTGAGCACATGCTCAGTGCTAAGCAAGCTGTAGATTGTTCCTCAGAATCACTTGTCACTTTGGGATGCATAGTCAGAATCAGTCAGGATAAATTTTTGCTAGATTTTTGCTCAAAACACGTGATCAGCAAATGGCCGATTTGTTATTTAGATTTTGGCCAGTCTGCATTGCAGTTGTATGATGTAAATAATGTGAGCACAGTATGTGCACTCCCACTGAATGCTAAGGCTATACCTATACCAAAATGAGTATGAGCGTAATTAAATATCATTCATTGCCCTTTACTTTTAATGTAGTGCTTAACTTGATTCACGTTATTTAATTAAAGACCGATATTAATTAAAAGGGCCCATTAAATTGAAAAAATAATTTCCTTGTGTTTGGACAGTGACACAGTTTTTGTAATTTTGCCTCTGTACACCAACACAATGGATTTGAAATTAATCAATGGTATGATTGAAGTATAGTCTTTCAGCTTTAATGTAAGGGGTTAAACTAAATTTTGCATGAACTGTTTAGGAATTACAGCCATTTTTACATAGTCCCTCCATTTTCACATGTTTAAAAGTAATTGGACAGTCATGTTCAGGTGTGGCCTCTTCCCTTGTTCTTTAATGATAAATTAAGAAGATAAAAAATCTGGGGTTGATTCCAAGTGTTGAATATGCATTTGGTAGCCGTTCCTGAGAACTCACAATATGCAAAGAGGTGTCAATGCAAGTGAAAGGAGCTGAGAAAACAAAACAAACCTATCAGAGAGAGCAGAAACTTTAGGAGAGGCTAAATCAACAATCTGGTACTTTCTGAAAAAGAAGGAATGCACTGGCAAGATCAGCAAAACCAAAAGGCCTGGAAGACCACGGAAGACAACTAAATGGGTGATTGCAGAATTCTTTCTATGGTGAAGAAAAACCCCTAAACAACATCTAGACAAGTCAAGGACATTTTAGAGGAGGGTGGCATATCATTATCAAAGTCATCAGACACTTTCATGACTCTAAGTACAGAGGGTTTACCTCAAGATGCAAACCACAGGCAACACCCAGGAACAGAAAGGACAGATTTGACTTCATCTAAAAAAAAACCTGCCCAGTTCTGGAACAAGATTCTTTGGACAGATGAAACCAAGATTAACTTGTACCAGAATGATGGGAAGAGAAGAGTATGGAGAAGGAAAGCAAGGACTCATGATCTGAAGCATACCACATCATCTGTCAAACATGATGGAGGCAGTGTTATATAAACCCCTTCGATTAAAGCTGAAAGTCTTCATTTCAATCACATCTTGACTGCTTCATTTCAAATCCATTGTGGTGGTGTACAGAGGCAAAATTACAAAAATTGTGTCACTTACGGTCCTGACTGTATATCCATCTATTCAGCTTACAGCCATTTAGCTCAAGTTATGAGGAGTGTTTCAGCCTGGACTGCTGTTCGAATAAGGCACACTAGAGGGCAGCCAATCAGAATAGCACTCATTTACATATATCAGTAACATGTAATGTCATGTAAAAATGAATTATGCCTGTTTTGGTACATGAAACACCACAATACTCATAAAAGGACTTGAAGGGGAAAATTAAAATACAAGAAGTTTGCTATGGCCCCTTTAAGAATGCAAAATGCCAGTTTTAAAGAGCAAGTAATGTTGCAACTTTGGCTAATAGAAGGCATTGGAAATGTGCTAGTGTGTTAAATTAGCCCACACAGTGTGAGATTTCGATTAGAAAAGAAAAAAATAATTCCACAACCACTCATCGTCTTCATTCATCACCTTAAAGCAGTTTTGCAAGGAGTGTTTAATTCCAGACTGCTTTTTGATTGAGGTATAATCAGACACAGCAGTGCTGCTGGAGTTTTTAAACACTGTGTCCACTCACTGTCCACTCTATTAGACACTCCCGCCTTGTCAGTCCACGTTGTAGATGTAAAGTCAGAGATGATAGCTCATCTGCTGCTGCACAGTTTGTGTTGGTCATTCTCTAGTCCTTCATCAGTGGTCACAGGATGCTGCCCACAGGACGCTGTCAGCTGGACATTTTTGGTTGGTGGACTATTCTCAGTCCAGCAGTGACACTGAGGTGTTTAAAAACTCCAGCAGCACTGCTGTGTCTGATCCACTCAGACCAGCGCAACACACACTAACACACCACCACCATGTCAGTGTCACTGCAGTGCTGAGAATGATCCACCACCCAAATAGTACCTGCTCTGTAAGGGTCCGTGGGAGTCCTGACCACCGAAGAACAGGGTAAAAGGGGGCTAACAAAGTATGCAGAGAAACAGATTGACTACAGTCTGTAATTGTAGAACTACAAAGTGCACCTATATAGTAAGTGGAGCTGATAAAATGGACAATGAGCGTAGAAACAAGGAGGCGGTCATAAATGTTATGCCTGATTGGTGTATTTATTATAGGCACAGCAACAAAAAAATAGCCTGTTTGGTTCTAGGGAGTAAAAAGAAGTTGAAAAATGGTAATGTAAAATTGAATAATGCCTGTTTTGGGTACATTAAAAATATGAATCTCATAAGTGGCAAATAAATTACGAAAAATGTAAAATATGGGCCCTTTAAGTTTGGACTGTTTCAATGCTTTGATGGTTAAATGTGTTGCTACTGCCAGAGTGTTGACAGTTTTCCTTGTCTAATAATCTTAAAACACTAAAACGAATGTGGTCTTTTTGCAGTCTGCCTATGTGACTGGAACGGAGCACATCATCGATGGAGGATGGAGCCTCTGAATGTTTTGCACTTCTTTCAAATTAGGGACATCTGTTGACTTGAATATGATTCTGCTATATCTTTGATTTAAACACGTCCAAAACGTGTCCTCTCATAGATAAAAATCACTAACAGCACAGCATGTCAGTCTGTCTCACTTTAAAATGAATGAGTTATGAATGAGTATGAATGCTGATTTTGAACTAATGCTGCTTTTAATGGTTATGTTTGTCATTCTGGTTTTACTGTTTGCTAAGAATGGATGCATATTGAACATTTACAGACTTAATTACATGGCATTTAATAATAATTCATTAATGATGAAGGAAAGCACCACACACAAGAAAACACTTGTGCGAATGATTAGTCTTCATTCTTCACGTTAACGGAATTTGCATTTTGGCATAATGTATTGATTAGCAAATGCAAATTTGTAATAAAAATATTTTGTGATACGCTCTTTTAATGAACATGTTTTTCATTTTAATCATCGTTCTTCACGCGTTTTGACAATGTAGATAACTAGTGAATTTATCCACTGGCTAATCTCTTTTTACTCGGCTCCCTTCTGGGGTTGTGTCTCAAATCGCAGTCCTGTGCCCTACATAGTAAGATGACTAAGGGCTCTCCATCTTTTCCTACGGTCTCCCAGTTTAAAATTTTCCTAGGGAACTGGGGGGTCGTGCACTACGTAGGGAGGTAGAGATAGATTTAAGACGTAACTGTGATTCAAATCCGTTATCCGCGGCTTGTTCGGTCCACATTACGGTTACCATAACGTTGCTTAAGGAGGAAGGCAGAGACGCTGGTAAGGACGTTTTGGCATTTATTACCACACGAATATATGTTTACAGCACAGTTTTAGCTGTTAGCTGTGAAATAGTCCAGGTAAACAAACAGACCAAACTGAATGAGGCTGAAGTTGGCTTCCTGTTCGCTAGTTTCTTGTTCGAATGTCCCCGTTCCGCCTTAAATGGTGAAACAGTTAGGTTCTGATAGCTCAGACACCAGCATTGAACTACTGCACCGTTTAAGGTGGAACGGGGACAGTCGCGAAAGGAGACTTCACCTTCGTCCAGACTGAACAAACATTAACGTTAGCAGGCTAGTTAGCTAACAGTTACTGTACGAATTACATTTAAAAAGCCAGGTGAGAGATAAACCTTGTATTAAAGACGGTTCAGTAAATTAGCCTCTTTTTCACTGAAACGACTAAGATAGCCAGCTAACACGCTGCTTAGCTTTACCCTGCAAAGGAACAGCTTGTCTCTCACAGCTACTGTGCCATATGGTCTCCCACTATAAGGACACAAGTTGATTAGTGAGTAGTCTTGTCAGAATCGGATTAGCCATTGTGAATTAAGAAGTTACCCAGTTTGCAATGCATATGTCATAGCTGACTAACAACAACAATACTGGTTCAGAACAGACTACCAAAGCGTGTTTACAGTAGTATATTAGCGTTTTCTACAGTGTGTATACAGGCATATGTGGTGACTACACCTCAGTCGAGAGTGGAGTTATAGTTCTCACCAGAATTTAAAGGGCCCATCTTGATCCCAGGCTGTTGTTGTCTTCAAGACTGATATATGTAAATGACCTTTGTTGTGCTTTTGCAGGCAGGACTCTGGGACTGGAAAGTTGATTTTTTAGTCTTTGACAAATGACTGACATCCTTTCACTCGTGCAGCTTTTGTGAACGCCCAGTTAGTGGGCAGCAGCAGGAATGCAGATCATTACTGGGCAGTGCACTACCTGAAGGATGAAGTAAGCCTGCCATGCCATGGACGATGCCCAGTCTAGACCGCAATCTTCTCGCTCCGTCTGTTCACAGAGGACTGAAGATGAATGTCCAGTGGTGGGGAACCATGCTGAAGTAAGTTACTCTGATAACTGTATATATATATATGTCCATACGTTTTGTAGAGGCCAGTGTTTTCTCTGACATCATGGGTATTAAAAGGGAGTTTGCCCCCATTTACTGTTCTGGGAAGGCTTTTCACTAGACTTGTTTAGATGTCTAGTTGATTAGTTCTGGTCACTACAACTCATCCCAGAGATATTATTTGGTGCTCTATCAATGCAGAGAATGCTGGTCCACTGCTTCACAGCCCAGTGCTGGGGGTCTTCATACACCTCAAGCATTAGGCCAGTATCCAGCTGCTTTGGAGCATCCCGTTCTTTTGGCAGTGCTTTTCTATGGAGATCATACAGCCTGTGTACGTTCAGTTGAACTCCTGTGTCAGTAATTGGTGCACCTTACAGTAGCTGAATTCACTATTTAGAAGTGGTGTCTAACTTTTGGACGTGTGGTGTACATTTTCTGGAACTTTCATGACAAATTTAAAATGGCCTTAAAGTGGCCTTCAATCTGTTATGTGTTTTGGGTTTCATCTAATCGTTGCTAGTATAATTATTGTTACTTTTGCGCAACTATTTTATATTATCCTGTCAGAACTTGCCGTGCAGTCTAGCATGGGTGTGGGAAACAAACACAGCAGTTCAAACAGAAGGTTTTGGCTCTGCTGATATAACCTGATAATACCCTTTCTGATATCCTGTTGTAGGATTTAATCAACTTGTGTACTGTACACTGTGTGGTCCTTATCTCCCCTGCTTTGTTCCCTGAAGAGCTGTTTCGGTTTAATGGCTGAGTTTGTTTTTTGTTGACATCTCATATGGTTTCTGTCTAGCATCACCTCTCAGTCAACCAAACGCTCCAGGTGTTGGTCCGGAGGCCCGACAGCCCGAGCACCACCGTAACTGAGGAGACGGTGTTCATCCCGCGAGTGGTGCACTCAGTGGACGCCTGCACTAACACTGACCCACCACACAAATGCTGCGGGTGGCTGCGCAGGCAGTGCCCCTGCCCGCCCCGGGGCCTGCTCGCCTCCATTATCACCAAAGGTGAGCCTGGAGCACATACAGGGAACACTGGGGACGAGTTAACCCTAAGAAATCTGGAGTTAGTTTCTAATATGGGCATGACGACAGAACTTCAGTGGTCTAAGTACTCAAGGGTGATCTCCTCTGTCTTTAGTAACACTTGCAGCTGAAGCCAACAACAATCAAGCACATTCTGTAGGTGAAGAAAAAGTCACTAAGTGCACCAGCATGTGAATCAGGTGTGTTTGAGCAAGGTAGTCAGTACACTGTGCTGAACCCAAGCCCCCAGGCTGAACACCCCTGCCTCAGTGTCAGAAATTAGCCTGCTATATCTGATGTCTTACATCAGGTTCCATGTGTCAAACACAAGGCCTGCGGGCCAGATCAGGCCTGTGAGACAATGCTATCCAGCGTGCAAAAGTATTTTTAATTTTCTATTAATATTAGCCTGTTTCACAATGCACTGCACTACATTTCCCAGCATGCACTGCAGTGTTATGTGCACTCTGACTCTCCTACCACAACAACAAGCTATGGGACAGCAGTTACACCTCAGATCTACACAGTTCTATCCAGTTCCACACCAGTCATATCACCAAAATGCATTTCAGCTGCAGTTCAACCAATATAAGCACTTTGTTAGCTCAGCAGCTCAGAAATAATAATTGAGCCCAAGTCTGAATGAACTTGCAAAAACGGAAGGATGCCAGGTGTCTATTTCAAGTAGATATGTAGGTTTAAAAGACAGAGCTCCTAGGGACATTTACATTTTGAATATTTAATGTGTTTATGTAATATTTCAAGGTCTATTGTATGTGCCTATATTTTACTGTTGAAGTTTTTTTTTGTATTTTGAATGAACATTGGCCAGTTTGGGTTATAACACAACAAAAATGAAATGAAAACATTTTTTCCTCTGGCCCACAGATTTGTTAAGATTTTCTAACATGGCCCTTTTACTCATTGAGTTTGACGCCCCTGTGTTAGGTGAAACATGAGAATTAGAATTAGCCTTACATTTGTTGTTGTTTGTGTTGTGTAGTGTCTATGGCTGCATTGCTTTTCGGGGTCGTGTGGTCCATCACCGAGAAAGAGTGTCTCCCTGGAGGGAATCTGTTTGGCATCGTTACTGTTTTTATCTGCGCTCTCACTGGAGGAAAGCTGGTGGGGCTCATTCGCATCCCCAATCTACCACCCATCCCTCCTCTACTGGGTAAGACCCCTTTGCTGCCTCTCATTTGTTTCTTCCTGTCTGTCTCTCTCACTTTCTGATATATCTTTGGTTTTTTCTGGCCCATGACTCACTCCTTGATGTGTGTTGATAGCAGAGTTTTGAAGATAGCAGCGCTGGGAGTGGCAGTTTGTGCTGCTTTGATATTTAGCACTCTGAGCCCACCAGGCTTGAGAGCTGTGTGGCTTGTGTTTTTGTTTTTTTTTTGTTTTTTACTGTGCTGACAAAGCCAATGGAGAAATGAATGCATGGATATTTCTTATTAATGCGTTGTTTACTTAAAAACAAGACACTGTATTAATGACCTATTCATGCTGTGCCCACAAAGGCTTTCTTTTGTAAACACTATGGCAAATAAGTTGGACAAGCTACCATACCCGGTTTAAGTTAACAATGGCTTATTATTCTGAATTGTCCCTTCACTTTTAATAGTAATAATTTTTAACACCTGAAGTAAATATAATATATTTGTTGTGTGCAAAATACAACTCCATTTCCAAAAAAGTTGTTTTGCTGTGCAAAATGTAAATAAAAACAAAATGCAATGGTGTGCAAATCATTTAAACCCTATATGTAATTGAAAATAGTGCAAAGACAACATATCAAATGTTAAAAGATTCAGAAAATCTGGAGAAATCTCAGAGACAAGGCCAAAAACCAGTATATGCTGGCTGTGATCTTTGGACCCTCAGGTGGCACTGCATTAAAAACAGACATGATTCTGTAGAGGAAATCACTGCATGGGCTCAGGAACACTTCTAAAAACCACAGGCTGTGAAAACAGCAAGTTAAAACTCTAAAATGCAAAGAAGAAACCATATATATATATATATAAGGGGTGCGTGAAAAAAATGTTTCTTAGATGCATCGCGATGCGGACGTGCACGATTCTAAATCGATTCATTCAACGTCAAAAATCGATTTTCTAAATATTTAATTTATAGCATAATGTTGACGGAACTTGGAAGTGGGTAAGTGCAGCGCCTGGACAGTCTGTGGCAGCACATAACAAAAACACCACTGGATGAGCGAGAAATCCGACCGGCTCCCTCTGCATTAAAAGCCAGGTTAGATCACGAGTCACAAATGATAAGAAGAGCCATTTTGTCCTTTAACATAAATCAAATCACCTTGGGAGCCACAACATTTAACGTCCAGTATGTCTCAGTATGTGTTAATGTCCTAGTATAGACTAAACAATATTAACGAAAACACGGACTTACTGTACTCTGCTTTAAGCTTTAGCTATAGCCACTTTTCTTCCATCTCCGCCAGAAAACCTTTCCTCAAAAGTTGAATAGTTTCTTGTAAAATGTCTTTCAGCTTTCGGCTGTTTTACGAGGCTGAAGTCGCTTCTCATTCGCCAGCTTCTTGCTGAGCTTTCCCGTTCCACCTTAAATTCTGACTGAGGTGCCAAAGGTAAATGCGGCACCATTTAAGGTGGAACGGGAAAATTAGAAAGAGAAGCGACTTCATCTTCGCTTTTTAGTGTTTGACAGTCTCTCGTTGCAGATTTAACGTATCAGGAAACCAACTACGTTGCTTATAAATGCAAATAAGTCCATTCATCTCCAAATGTTCGTCTGTCTTTCTCTTTTCCTTTTCGTTTGCTACTAGCCAGGCGAAACCTCGTTGCTAGGTGACCTGCAGTCTGCACGGCAGTTCTCAGTAGTTGAGAAACAGGGCATTTGCGCTATGTTGCTCACGCCCCGTCTCAAAGGTATTTTACTGACACCGCGATCCCCCCCCGTCTCTACCACGAGACCAAAACCGAAGTTATGAAATCACTAAAGAAAACAGGTAGGACGGCTATAATGTGCTACGTGGTCATTCATTACCACTGGATCTTATTTCACCCTAACAGCACATTTTATCGCAGATGAGTGGCAACAGTGTCTCTAAACAAGAGCAGTGAATGAGAGCTTTCCTGTTCACTTGCCACATCACTTCCATTCGTTTTATTAATAAAAGATATTGGACATGAATGCATTATGGATCATTACAAATACTTAGTTTTAAAAGTACCGAGTCCTCAGACAGTAAGAAAATAGAAATCATGTATAGAAAAAAAAGATGCATCGAAATGCATCGATAGTCGTTTTATAATCGCATCGCAGCCCTCTGAATTGTAATCGAATCGTGAGGTGCCTAGAGATTCTCACCCCTAATATACATATATATATATATAGTGTGTGTGTGTGTGTGTGTGTGTGTGTGTGTGTGTGTGTGTGTATAGTTAGGTATATATAGTTATAGTTATTTTTACATTAAGCATGACTCAAAAGGCAACATCCCTGATTTAGGCATTCAACTAAAAAGGATAAGTGTATTTAGCGTATGCAGAGAGAAGCACAGTCAGTGTGCGGAACTTGGTGCTACTTTTTTCTTCCTGCCAAGAGTTAGTTCAGACAAAGATTAAATATAGATAAACAACATGGGAAGATCAGGCAGTACAGTATGATAGGAGTTTCAGCTTCTGAATCCGGTACCCACGGGTCTCTATTCCATGCTGATATTTCCTTCAGTAAGAGCCGAATATTAAAACATATGCTGAGTTGTATAACCGTTTCATGACAGCTCTTTGTCTTTGGTTGCCTGGAGACGTGTAAGTAAGACAAAACTCTCTGGAATTTTCCAATAACTTCACTAGAGTACTGAAGTCATTCATTTTTGACTTAACACAGTGAGAGAATAATTATGTTCATGCCGCTTAAGGGATTCCTGTCTTCATTTTTCTGTTTTTTCATTTCACTGCAGGCTGTTCTCGTGTCTTACTTGTGAATTCTACGTCCCACATAAAGGTCTTGTAAAACCTCAGGCTGCTGCCAGAGTTCTTGTTATTTGAGACGTGTTCCTCACATTCAGGAATAATATTGGGGTGATATCAAAGTTTCATTTATGTTTGATTTGCTTTTTGTACCCTCATACTTGCTATAATCAGTGGGAAAAGTGTAACAAGTAGTCCAGAGTTTGTTTGGGTTCTCACTGCTGTGTTTGTGTGTCCTCAGGCATGCTGCTGGCGGGGGTCCTTCTCAGAAACATCCCTGTGGTGACCGAGGCAGTCTACATTGACTTCAGATGGTCAGCCTCCCTGAGGAACATCGCACTGGCTGTTATTCTAGCCAGAGCTGGCCTGGGATTAGATGGCTCAGTAAGACACTCATTCTCTTACTCGTCCCATAAAATGTTAGAGCACCAGTATTTATTAGGATGGTCCATGTAACTTGTGAAGATCTGAGTTTACCACAAAGGAGTTGCACGTAAATAACTGACAGTTAAAACTGAAAAATAGCTGACAGTTCTAATACAAGTAGCAAAGTAAGTGACCAGTCACATGCCAGTTCATTCCAACACCATGTGAACACGGTTGACCATTGCTTTGGTCCATCCCAACAATACACACACTTTAATTCCAAAAACAGTGGGACAGTATTTAATATGCAAATAAATACAGAGGGTCAGTCATTTGTAATTGTAACCACATGAACCTGCATTTAAACAAAAACAGTATGAAATTTTCATGTCGGTCGAGTCCTGTTACTTTGACATGATGATTTAGCAGTTGTCAAATTACCAGCTGAACATAAACAACTGGTAATTAAGTTTTAATAAAGTGTTTTCTGACTTAAGTTGAATATCATCTGAATGCACCAGTAATCTTCATTCTGTGTGTCTTTGTCTTTCAGGCCCTCAAGAAGCTGAAAGCAGTGTGTGTGCGTGTGGCAGTGGGGCCCTGCCTCATAGAGGCATCCACTGTGGCACTGGTGTCCCACTTCCTCATGGGCCTGCCCTGGATTTGGGGCTTCATACTGGGGTAAATGTGATTCTGACAGAATAAAAACTTTCAAAGATTACTGGAGTTCTCTTGCCTGTAGTGCTACGTTTTACCTCATGAGTGATACTTCAGATTACCTGCAAGATTATCAGTCAAGAGTTTAATATAGCTATATTACTATTCAGGTGTTACAGTTGGTAAACGTTAGCTTTATTATTTAGCAGTTTTGCTTAATAAAGGTACAGTTACAGTTTGCTAAGGTTAATCAGAGTCATGGTCAGCATGTAGAGGCTGATTTGTTCTTTTTCCCCTGGCTCCCTGTTTCAGTTTTGTTCTGGGAGCTGTGTCTCCTGCAGTGGTAGTTCCTTCCATGCTGCTGCTGCAGAAGGACGGTTATGGCTTAGAGCAGGGGGTTCCCACACTGTTGATGGCAGCCGGCAGCTTTGATGATATTCTAGCCATTACTGGCTTTACCACCTGCCTGGGCATAGCTTTTGCTACAGGTAAAGTGTTTTACCTCAAAAGGGTAAAGAGAAGAACGGTGATACCAAAGAAATTTGGTGTTTATTGAGGTGTGGGGTGAAATTATGTTCTTTTTTTTAAAGAGGAATTCCAAGCAGTTCTCTAAATTTCTGCATAGTTCAGTCGTTGCAATGTAAACAAAGTCACTCAGAGTGGTTTGACGTGAAAATGTAGAGAAACTTACTGATCGTCTTTACAGTGGTGGTGGTAGGACCCCGGGGTCTTAATGTCTACAATGCAAACATAGCCATTTTATTTACTATTCAAACTTATGTACCTCTCTACCATGAAAGTATTTAAAAAAATATGTTTTAAGCCTATGTAATTCGCTAATGTCGCCACCACTGAACAATTCTGTCTTTCACATCAAATTACACTGAATGACTTTGCTGAATTATTATGATGACATTCTGAAAAAAATGGTGGAATTCCTCATGAATGTTATTTTAAGCTCACCAAAAAGGTCTGCTGGGGAGTAATATTTAAACAAGATTTAAATGTTATTTATTAATATACATTGCACATAGTTTGGTTAGAATGCCCACCTTCCTGTTAATGTTATTTTTGTCGCCCCCTGTAGGCTCCACCTGGTTCAACATCCTTCGAGGAGGTTTGGAGGTATTAGGTGGGATGGCTGCTGGTTTGGCTTTTGGTTTCTTTCTTCATTATTTTCCCAGCAAAGACCAGGTGAGTGTGCTTACCTACATGATGGTGAAAAGCTACGGCTACTGAATTTACAGAAGTTCGTTTATATAATTTTTGTCACTCTTTTGTCACTTTTATGCTCAAAGCATAGAACTAAATACATATATTTGTGTCAGTATGATTATGTATTGGTGTTTTTCTCCCGCTTGCAGAAAGATTTAGCAGTAAAGCGCTCGTTCCTGCTATTGGGTCTGTCCGTGTTTGCTGTGTTTGGCAGTAATGTGGCGGGTATTCCAGGCTCAGGAGGACTTTGTACACTGGTGCTGGCCTTCATTGCTGGACTGGGGTGGAGAAAGGCCAAGGTCAGAGCCTCTCCAAAACCTCTATTATACTATTTTCTTTCCATTTTTTCTTCATTTTTGAAGAGAATTTCAGTATTTTCATTACATGTGCTAAAATGTCCTATTTTATTCTTCTTTTCTTTCTTTTCTTCCTTTTGACCTTGCTTTTTTCTTCCTTTTTGGCTTGCTCTTCTTTTTCCCACACACTTTCACCACCACTCCCTTCTTTTTCCCATCTCTCATGCTGTTCTACTGATTAGTCACATGCACTGTGTGAAAAGAACATTTTTGCCTCTGTGCTGAGAAACAGCTTTAGTTAACCCATTACACTGTGTGAAAACATTTCTACTGTATTACAGCTTTAAAAGTCAGACTGTCAGAATGTTTTAACTACATAGGCAGATACACTATATAGCCAATAGTATGTGGACACCCCTTTCCTTTTGAGTTCAGGTGTTTCAGCCACACTCATTGCTAACAGGTGTATAAAATGATCTCCATAGACAAACATTGCAGCAGAATGGGTCATACTGAAAAGCTCAGTGGCTTTAAATGTAGTACTATCATAGGATGTCACTTTTTCCACAAGTCACTGTTTGAAATTTCTGCCTAGCTAGTTCTGCCCCAGTCAACTCTTAAGTGCTGTTATTATGAAATGGACTTGTCTAGGAGCAGCAACAGCTCAACCACGAAGTGGTAGATCATGCAAACTCACAGCAGAGTTAGAGAGTGCTGAAGAAAGTAGTGTAGAAAATCGCCTATCCTCTCACTCCTTTCAATGAAATAGGTTTCCATGGCTGAGCAGCTGCAATGCGTAGTGGCAAGCGTCTGTTGGAGTGGGGTAAAGCACGCTGCCACTGGACGCTGGAGCAGTGGAAATGTGCTCACTGGAGTGATGAATCGCACTTCACTATTTGACTTTCAGATGGATGAAACTGAATGAGTTTGATGGATGACAGGAGAATGCTACCTACCAGAATGCATAGAGCTGGGTGATATGGCCAAAAATGTTATCACTATAAACAAAATTTATATCGTTCGATATCGATACAGACCGCGATGAATGTCAAATCATTATTTCTTTCAAGTTTGAAGGCTGATTTTTTGCTCCTGGGTGGTTAATTGCTGTTTTTAAACTATCCTTTATGGTCGGAACACAACAAACATTGGCCAAACAGTGGAACATTTCACAGATCTATCATGGGAGAGTGGGAGAAAGTGTCTGGTGAGCTGTTTTTACCAGCTGGAAAAGCATGGCTATTTTGTAGTAATCATAATTTAAGAAAGAAAACAGATTATTTTTAGCTGGTGACGAGCGCTCGGCTACCCCGCTACAAATGACATCACAGTATTCAGACACCAGCTAGCGACGACTGGACTTCTTTATACTATCGTAGTAGTTTAAGTGGTGAGCCGCAAAATATCAACACCAGACAAACAGAGTCCTCCTTTTAGGTACGTTTAAACTGAAAGCGGTGCTTTTGTGTCATGTTTGATCTACAGTATCATCAATTCTCCGTGTTGTGGAGTGATGAAGCGCTGCTTCAAGTTAGCCAGCTGCTAAAAACAGCTAGCCTGGACAGATAGCGCTCTCCCGCTCTCCAATGCCTCACAGCTTCCTCAGTTTACTTTCGTTTAAATCAGGGCTGTAATTTACATGAACCCACTTCTTTCTTTCACTTTTGTTGCTTTGGAATGCAATTTAAATATGACTGTCCGAGCGCTGTAACAGCGCTTTAGTTCTGAGGATGGTGATTTAACGCTGCTAAAGCTGGTTAGGATGTTAGAGGTGAGTTCGCTGTAGGTCAGTACAGTTACACCACTGACCTCGTCACTCACACTCGGTCACAGGAGAGCAGGTCGCCGGTTGCTCCACTCAAACAGGGAATGTATAACTCCGCGTTTCAGACGTTGCTAAAGACTCATCTTATTCGTGGCCCCCTCCCTCTCTAATCATGTAGAAAAACTCAGAAGTGCGCCCTCTCCTGGCGACAGCACAGAAGTGTCGCTTTCCTTGCAGTAGAAAACACCACCAAGGCTTTCGCTGAACATGGAGGTGTGAGAATGGTGTATTATATCGAACATTTATCGAACATGTTGTATCGCTCTATCGAGGAAAAGTTATTTCGCGATAATTATCGTTAACGTTTTATCGCCCAGCCCTAAGAATGCATAGTGCCAACAGTAATCTTTGGTGGAGAAGGGATAATGAGCTGTTTTTCTGGGTTTGGGCCCCTTAGTTCCAGTGAAAGGTAATGTTAATGCTACAACATTTAAAGACATTTTAGACAGTTATATGCTTTCAACTTTGTGGCAAAGGAACAAAGTGTGGTGCACAGAGTGAGGTCCATAATGACATGGTGTGATGAGTTTGATGTGGCCTGCACAGAGCCCTGACCTCACCCCCACTGAAGACTTTTAGAATGAATCAGAACATCCATTGTGAGCCAGGCCTTATGGTTTAAAATTATTGCTTCACAAATGTTCTTTTGAATAAATAAATCCAAATAAATGGGCACAAAGTTCCAACAGACCCAGTCCAAAACTTTGTGGAAAGCCTTCCCAGAAGAGTGAAAGCTGTTGTAGCTCCAAAGGGCACAATTCCATATTCCATAAGTCCATAACGCCCATGGTTTTGAAACGGGTTGTCCATCAAGCTCAAAAAGGTGTGATGTCCACAAACTTTTGGCCATATAGTGTACATTGTTGTGCTAAGACTGAATCACATTTACACATTCATAGGTGCACAAAAAGTCGTCAGGGCATTTCTTACTGACATTAATCCCTTGATTAAGCACGATTTATTACATACCAGTTAAAAGACACAATTCTTCTTTCTCTGTAATCTTTGAACGATAGGTAGTGACTTTGGCCCACCTCTGAACACCTTCTGATGTTTGATTATGTTACAGTGCATCACTAGGTTTTGGGTCTGACGCCATGTTCTGACACCCACTTTTCATGAACCATTCAAATCCTGTAGGATAAAGTAATTAGCTAGGACATGACTTCCTCCTCAAATATGCTGTTAAACTTAAAGAGTACATCACATCAACAAAAAAAATCTGTGTTTGATTTCCAATTCACATTGACTTTAAACGGCTTTCTTCTTCCTTAGATTGACAGTAGTTGGTGAATAATTCTCAGTAATTGCCATTTAATAGGGGGTTACAAAATTATCGCAACACTTGAGCTATGTTACGATTTAATTGCAATATTCAAAGATTTGTGATGTGTATTGCAGTGTGACATTTTGTGTTAAAGCATTAATTAATTTAGGTAAACTACTAGTCTTACAGTGGACTTACAGTATACACATTTTATAAATATTTACATATCAATATCATTTTTAAATTAAAAAAAATATTTTTCTCAGTTCCCTACTGTTTAACAACTGAATACTAAGCCTGGGGTTCAGGCAATTAACCAAATTGGCATGGAGTTCAAGTTATTTTGGAGTTTCTGCAAGCTAGAAGTGCATTTGAGAGAAGTGCATTTAGAGCTGGCATCATTACTGGAGTCTCTTTAAATGACAGTACTCTGTGTTTTGTGTCTGTGTTCAGGCCCCAGTAGAGGACATTGTGGGCAAAGCGTGGGATGTGTTCCAGCCTCTGCTGTTTGGGCTCATTGGTGCTGAGATCACCATCAGCGCTCTGGACCCCAGAACAGTGGGTGAGTGAATGGACCACATGAAATCAAACTAGCTGAAAAGATAAACCTTAATAATTCATGTGTTGGGATGCTAGTGGTTCGGAGTGGTTTTATATTAAATGGTGCATTGTAGACAAACTTAATGATGGTTAAAGGAGCCAGGGGTCATGATGTCTACAGCATATCCATTTTACTTACCATCCAAAAAGACCTTTGTGTATTCTGAGTTTCTGTATGTGTTGATAGTAGGGCTGGGCGATAAAACGATAACGATAATTATCACGATATACCTTTTCCTCGGTAGAGCGATACGACATGTTCGATAAATGTTTGATATAATACACCATTCTCACACTTCCATGTTCTAGTGAAAGCCTTGGTGGCGTTTTCTACTGTAAGGAAAGTGACACTTCTGTGCTGTCTCCAGGAGAGGGCGCACTTCCGAGTTTTCTACATGATTAGAGAGGGAGGGGGCCACAAGTAAGATGAGTCTTTAGCAACGTCTGAAACATGGAGTTATACATTCCCTGTTTGAGTGGAGCAACCGGCGACCTGCTCTCCTGTGACCGAGTGTGACTGACAAGATCAGTGGAGTAACTATACTGTCCTACAGTGAACTCACCTCTTTACTAACATCCTAACAAGCTTTAGCAGCGTTAAATCACAATCACAATCCTCAGAACTAAAGCGCTGTTACAGCGCTCGGACAGTCATATTTAAGTATTAGTGCATTCACAAGCAGTGAAAGTGAAAGAAAAAAGTGGGTAACATTTGTGATAACATTTTTGGCCATATCGCCCAGTTCTAGTTGATAGTGGTAAAATTGTGGTAACTCTGAGACGAAAAAAAAAATCTTTGGGCACCATCTTGCCTTTCAATGCCCTGCAGAGCTCTCTGCCATGAATGGCTTTTAAAAAAGTATGTTTTGGGCCAAAACCTAATAGTTATACCATCGTAAAACAATGTCAGCTTATTTGTAACTATTTCATGTTAAAACCTCCTGTGAGCCATTAAAATTTTTGGATGTCTGGTTTCTGTCACCACCGCTGAAAAGTTCTACTCTCTAAGTTTCTCTGGGATGTTGCATCACACAACAAACCACTCTAAATGACTCTGTTTACAGCTGAACGATTGAATTAGACAAGTAATATGAAAAATCGGTGGAATTCCCCTTTAAGATTCTGAGCAAAGGACTGTAAACATTACCGTTCACTGGGCCACTTCGAAAAGTTACCACAAACCAGTGTGCATTAAACAATTCTAACATACTTGAATCATCTTTTGTGCACTTGTTTGGTTTACATAAAATGCACCATATTGGTTGCTTTCACTTACTAACAATACTGAGTGTAATACTATGAATGAACTGGTTTCTGTGGCTGAGAGCCTTTCAGTTGCAGTCAGTCTTACTGAATTAACACTTTATATAGTTCTGAGAACGTTTATCAGTTGCTACACAGGAAACGTGTGTGTGTGTGTGTGTGTGTGTGTGTTTTCAGGCCTGGGGCTAGCAGCCCTCTGCATCGCCCTGACTGTACGAATCTTCTTCACCTTCCTCATGGTGCTGTGCGCTGGCTTTAACTTTAAAGAGAAGCTGTTTATCGCTCTGGCCTGGATGCCTAAGGCCACTGTTCAGGTAAATAAAGGACTTTCTTCAATACTATTAATCCACATTCTTCACTTCCATGCCCCCAAGTCTAGGGAGAGCTTGGCTTGCTAAATAATGCTGATCACACACCTAGGTATCCTCTGAAAAATGACCCACTAAAAGGAGAAATATGAGCACTCATGCACTGAAAGTACTGTGTTGTAGTAAGGAAAACTGAAAATATTCATGCAAAAGAATTCTTGTTGTAATATTTATGACATGGTGGGTAAAAACAAGCATTTTCCTTTACTGATGGTTTCGAACGTGCCAGGAACTCTTTACAGGCAAAAAAGGTATCTTGGTTCTTAGTCCTATTAAAAGGACTGACTTCTCAGTAATAAACGTTTTTTTCATTACCTTTTTTCAGTTGTTTCATTTAGTTGTTATGAATTATAATAAAATAAATAAACACTTACTGCATCCTGTCCACAAGAGCAAAATTACTCCTGCATAATTTGATACAGTGCTGTGAAATATAAAATTAATCTGTAACAATTTAAATAGAAAATATACGAACAAATTAAAAAAAAATGTCAGTTTTAGATTTCAGTTCTGAGTGTCCTGAATTTTGTTTCTGACTCCCGAATTATCATTGTAGTACATCGCAAGCTGAAACTCTCTCCCCAGGCTGCTATTGGCTCAACCGCTCTGGACATGGCGCGCTCTAAGCAGGAGGAGCAGATGCAGCAGTATGGAATGGACGTGCTGACCGTGGCCGTGTTGTCCATCCTTTTAACGGCCCCTATTGGAGCTCTGCTCATCGGCCTGTGCGGACCACGCTTGCTGCAGAGACCAAAGAATCCTGAGTGGGGTGAGATGCGTCCTCTTGGACACATAAACACATACATGGATATTTTTGCTAACTGTGGCAGTCGCAGACATTCCCATTCACTGAGAACACATTTGTGGAGTCCAATTCTACTCAGAGCTCCAGGTTCTAAACAAACACTGAGATAGACTGTCAGTCCTGCATATTCAGTTCATCTAAATCAAGCACTTGTATGAAAATCAAAATGCAGCTTATTGGATTTGCATGACTGGAGGACAGTGTTTGTTTATTGTACTGTCTCTCTCTGGAACAATGAAAGGCTCTTTTTTACTATTTCAGACTTTGAACTCGTCGTTCTTTCAAAGTGTCTGAAATGCCAAGTGGAAGTCACATTTAATCACTGTAACTTTTACTGAAGTGAATGAAGGTTTGCTGTGAATAGGATTTAACTAAAGAATACAGTCTGCTAAACGGGACGTTGCAAAGTCAAATTCCTTTCTGCTGCATGTAAGATGGGCGAAATGAAATATAACATCACGATCCACAAGATTGTTCACAGTGTTTAGTTTTCCTAAAGTTTGTAAACAAGTTGGAACAGACAAAAATACACCAGTGCCACAAAAAAGCTAGGAAAAAATTTAAGCACAGTCATTTATTGAATTCAGTTATTGCAAAAAGAAAATATTCAAAAGGAACAGGAAGTAAAACATACAAATAAATAAGTGAATAAAATGTAATAATAGGCTGCCATCCAAGCAGCTGCTTGTTATATAGGATTCATTGCAGTGTGTATATTTTTAATGCTTGTATATTACATGTATTAGTGGTTTGTTCCATGCTGCATTTAATGTTGGAGCAGCAAATAGTCTTTATGATATTGATAAACAGTGATTGTCATCATGTGGGCAGTTGATTTTTATTTTTAATGATTGTAAATATTGCACGCACATACTGCGGTTTAAACAAACCACATTCAGAAATCTTTGACTTAACACATTTTTAATGCTGTCATATTTTTTAAAAATAGAATATTGTGATAATATTGTAAAGCATGATAAAAGGTGAGGTCAATATTGTGATAAAAGAAATGATATTGGCACATGCCTCCTATACATTGGTTGTGATTTACAGACTCTCTGTAATTGATCTAAATCTGTCTTTTAATGATACATGCAGTTGTTTAGTGTTCTGGATCTACTGATGATGCTCTTGATATAACTCAGAAAAGTGTGTTGTGACATAATTGATCACAGTAATGGTAAAATATAATCAGATCATCCATAAGTGCCTTTGGGGTTACGTTTCAACTTCTAGTGACTTTGACTTTGTTTTCTGGATGTTGTTTTTTCAGCTATGAGTCAGGGTGCACTGTCAGCGTCAGAGACGCCAGTGACCTACGAGAGTGCAATCTGAGGCTGCTAACAGGCCGTGGAAGTGACCAACCAAACCATCGTCCTGTAAAGCTCCTGTTGGTTCTGCAGGGGCTTTCCAGACATTTCCGTGATGGACACTGTTTTGTAAGATGTCATCCACTTGGTGTGGGGAAAACATGGTGTATTTTTAGATGCACTGTAGCAGTCTGCTCACTGTCCTTCAACCCAACACCTGCATTCCAGGCCAGTTTTAAATACTTGACTGACAGGAAAAGTCACGGATACAGTACCAATGCTTATACACACCCGGCTAAATTATGTTTTTTATGATCTTTAAAGGGCAGAGAAAAAAAGTCATGCAGAGTGGTTTAGTGTAAAATGGTGCACTAAAGTATACAATATATTGACAAAGATTTCTTTACCATGGTGGTGACAGGAACCAGAGGTCTGTCTCACAAAGCAGGACCTTTTGATTAGCCAGCTAACATTAATCTTAGTTGGTCTCACAGTAATGTATTACTTTTTACTGGGCTACATCACCATGGCAAATTGAAACGTGCGTCATGAGATAGACCCCTAGGGTCACAACATCTGCTATTTTGCCTTATAACTCCCTCCATGTTATCTTTCCACCATGAATGGATTTAAAAATCTGTTTTTGGCCAAACTTTCATAAAACAATGTCTCAGGCATCAGGTAATGTATTCATAACCATTTCATGTTATAATGTTTGTGTGAGAGCTTTGCCTCAAGCACTGATGTCTGGTTCCTGTCACCTCCACTGTGAGTCAGTGAGTTTCTCCAGAATGTCAAACCACTCTGAATGACTTGGTTTAGATGTTAATGATTTAATTATGCAATAATTACAAAATGTGGAATTCCCCGTTAATAGGTTAGTAGTAATAGTCATTAGCCCTGTAGTGAAATGACTGATAAATACAAGATAAATACAAGATCTACTGAGTGATTAGTTCCAAGCTTTTATAGAGAGTAATAATGTTTACGAAGTATGTGTCTTTCTTATTTAATAGCTGCTGTTGTGTTGATTTTATTACTATTTGTTTGAGTCATCATGGGCAATATGAAGCTCATGTGCAAGTGACAAAGTGCTTTCATGTATACATGTTTAATTCCTGGAATGTTTAGGATGCTAAAAGTTGGATTTGCCTGTTGAGCTCAACATTCTGTAGCATGTTAAATTCACCAGGAAAACAGATTTCATGTGAAAGTGACAGTTCAGTCACCATAATTACAGCCATCACTACACGGAAAAATAACTTTTGTATGCATCCAAGCACAGCAAAGTACTGTATAACATTAATATATCATTTAATATCATCAAACTGACTGTTTTGGGACTCAAGTAAGTATTTAAAGAGATAAATAGAAGACAGTATATAGAGATTAAGGTACAAAAACAAGATGTTCATGTTTACCACTCACCTCTAGTGTTGATATTTTTCAAAGCAAAACATCTGGGTCCCTGTACAGACTCATAATAAAATGGGCCTTTTTGTATTAATCAGCTTTTCTCAGGTCACTTGCGGGCAGTACATTATGAGTGTTATTTATTTGACCCTTACTTCTGTGAACTATTAGGTCATTCCATGTTAAATCAGTGAGGCCTAACACTACATCATAGATCATTCAGCCAGTGCATAAGAGGGTTCAAACTAACATCAGAGCTGCTGTTTGCGTCAATCTTTGCACATTTTTGATTTCAGATGTTTCCTCTCACTGGTTTATATTATAAGCAGTTTTAATTGAATTCAAGGTCCAATTCCAGCAGTTTTCAACCAAGTCTATCCTGTGCTTATGTACTATATGGTTGATTACCACAGACAGTGGTTTCAGTATGTATGTCTGTGCTTACGAATGAATTGAAAATGTGTTAAATCGAAACGCACAGTAGAATCCGGTGGGCAAATGCTTCAGCAGATTAGGTCGAAAAACGCCGGAGTGTCTGTTTACATACAGAAACTTGTAGAGACACATTTGCTTTCACTGTCTTACCAATATACCGAATATATTCATGTTAAATTGCTCATAAAGCATGATTGAAGAAAACACATGATATAGTTTTACTCCTCCAAAACTGATTTAACATGGAATGGACAGTATATGTTTTTTCATTGTTGCTTTTTGTTTTTATGGACTGTGTTTTTGAATGTATAATGTGTTATCTGTAGATCTGTAGATACATGGAAGGCCAGTGTACAGTTACACAAACCTGGTGAAATGACATATTTTGTTCATTTTCTAAGTAAAAATAATTAAACACATCCTCAAAATAAACTGAAATATGACATGTTTCTATTTATTTGCTGAGCATAACATGTTGGGGGAATAAAAACCATAAAATATGAAATGTGCCATAACTTATGCACGTTTTATTTAGGTTTTCTCCCCAATGTTAAATTCAGCAATAAGCAGTAGTTATGTATTAAAATGTGCAGATGTTTGTTGTCTGTGGAAGATGTGTTCACTAATTTTCACTTAGAAAATCAACAGAAACAGAAATATAATTTAACCAGGGGTGCCCACACTTTTGCAGATGACATATATTGATGAACAATCAAGTGGAACAAAAATAAATAAGAAACAATCAAAATGTTGATGGTCTTAGAAGGGATTATTGTCTGATGGAAATGAGTCAAATTCCTGGTGTTTATAAAGAAGAGCAAAATGTCATGCATTTAAAATTATTAGCATATCTACTGTGTGTATATTTGTACTTAATTTATACAGAATGATCACATATGTATTACAGAGAGCTGTGCAGTCTGAACAGCTCTAATACAAACTGCCACAAGTACCTCACCAATATAATGTTCTGCTGAAAAACTCAGCCAGTATTGAGGTTACTCAGGTTAATGGGTATCAGCAAAAGTGTTGCCAGTAAACAAGCATATATACAAATGGCTTATTTTATATTGCATAGATATACTCCTCTGATATGAGAGGAATAATGAGAATGCCTCCTTCGTGAGGATCTGAATGGTTTCATTTTTAAAGCTACAATATTAAAGATCAGTTGTTTCCAACCTTTTGCAGTTCACAACCCACAAAACCAACCACAAAAGCTTCTGTGGCCCACAAGATTTAGCTGACTTGATCATTTAAAGTGCAAACAAACAAAACACATCAATGTAGCCTGTTGAATTCTGATTGACAGTACAGTCATACAACATAATCAACACCACAAATATCTGAAACATTTTTGTTTGTTGCCATTTATCGATGATGGATGAATTCCATGTTTTACATTTTTACAGTTTTACATTGACTTGTGATATGAACAATAACTAGCTGGCTCTGTCATTTATGTCAGCCTGACTTTTGCACAGTACTGCATATAGTAAACAAGGGAGGTGTTTCCAATAAAGTGGTCAGTAAGTGTAGTATTGTGATAATGATATGACTATACTTAGCCAATGTTTGTTCAGATTGTATTCAGTGAATAATGGTTAATGAAGTTTGGATTATAAAAGCACTGTACAGGTAAAACTATCTACACAGCATTAAGATATAGTCCAAATTTAGGGTCATTCCCAATATTCCCAACTTTTGCCACCGATGTGGAATTTCCAGACGCACCCAGCATTATAAAACAAACAATAAAAGAATACAGAGCCTCCTCCTGACTTTTTACACCCTAAATAAACAGCTGATACTGCTTAGAGTCTCCTCTGATTCATTTTCGCCAGTAGCGCTGTCACCATGGCAACGTTTCCGCGGCTGCATTCCTCTGTCGGCCGCTATGAGGCGTGGAGCAGCAATTTTTTCTATGTAAATGTAAAAGGACTTCCAATATCCATGGCTGTCAGGTGAAGCCGGTAAGACTCCGCCCACATCACTGTGCTGGTTGAAAAACTAGTCCCATCTCTAAAAGAATGAACTGTACAGATTTACAGCTTAACTTCAAACACATCTGACTGAGGAAACGCATGAAATTACGGAATTCAGCTACTAAGTGGTCTATAAAGTTGAATGGAACTGAATTGACGGATTAATGATTTCTCTTTTGACATAATGTATTGATTATTAAAAGGTTGGGGGCACGTATGGGGGCATGTATGGGGGGATGAAACTGTGTTTTCATTCACTAATACTTATTAAAAGTGGAGGCTTAGTAATACAGAAATCTGAAGACAAGAGGAAACGTAGCCGAAACCACTTAGAACCGATGCGTCCTCTGAAACCTCATGTAAAAGACCCCTCTCATATATGCTTAAACTTGGCATTAGCTCATGTAACTTTAGCCCTTAGCGGATAAAAGATTACATTTATAAATGTGCTGTCTGCTTCCTATGTGCTGCCCTACAAAATAGCGTTCTCAGCAGCTCTCAGACTAAAAGAAACTGATTCTTTATGGTCGCCATTCAGAATGGCAACAGTAAGTTGAACAACCCAGATAGCAAAATTTGTCTGGCCCACATGTGGGTCACATCCTTGTGTTCATTCTGGCCCAGCACACTGCTTGGTCCTCAGCCCACATCTGGCCCGCACACTGTGAGTAGAACTGGTGGATGTGGCCCAAATCTGGCCCAAGTGCATTGTTGGTGCACACCATTCATGCCAAAATTGGACATGGTGACATTAGACTCATGTACAGCTGCTTGAGAACATCCCATTCTATTGCCAGTGCTTTACCACGGAGATTACACAAACCGTATTTGTGCAGTTGAATGCCTGCATCAGCAATGGCTGCACCTTTTTTGCACCTCCAAAGTTCAGTCTTAGAAATTGGCTGCATTTGCTGTATTTTCGTCTCGCAATCCAAGTAATCCCAAAAGCATTTAATGATGTTTGAGGTCATGACTCATGGTGGCCAGTCCACTGTCCATTAAAAACTTTTTCCAAATATTTCTTTTATTTTTTGGCTGATTCCTCTTGTTAGTAATGGAGACAGCTACACTCCAGTTAGACCCATAGCACTGAGCTGTTCTCACAGTAGAAGAGAATTAGTACTGTATAGTGTACATTTTATGAACCCTTCATGACATATTTTATTCGGTGGCCTTCAATCTGTTATGTGTTTTGGGTTTCATCTAATCGTTGCTAGTATAATTATTGTTACTTTTGCGCAACTATTTTCTATTGTCCTATCAGAGCTTGCCATGCAGTCCAGCATGGGTGTGGGAAACAAACACAGCAGTTCAAACAGAAGGCTTTGGCTCTGCTGATATAACCTGATAATACCCTTTCTGATATCCTGTTGTAGGATTTAATCAACTTGTGTACTGTACACTGTGTGGTCCTTATCTCCCCTGCTTTGTTCCCTGAAGAGCTGTTTCGGTTTAATGGCTGAGTTTGTTTTTTGCTGACATCTCATATGGTTTCTGTCTAGCATCACCTCTCAGTCAACCAAACGCTCCAGGTGTTGGTCCGGAGGCCCGACAGCCCGAGCACCACCGTAACTGAGGAGACGGTGTTCATCCCGCGAGTGGTGCACTCAGTGGACGCCTGCACTAACACTGACCCACCACACAAATGCTGCGGGTGGCTGCGCAGGCAGTGCCCCTGCCCCCCGCCCCGGGGCCTGCTCGCCTCCATTATCACCAAAGGTGAGCCTGGAGCACATACAGGGAACACTGGGGATGGGTTAACCCTAAGAAATCTAGAGTTATTGTTGTCATTATACTGTACTTTAAATGTAATAACAATCAAAGACAGAGTAATGAATGCATGTGTGTTTATTCTGCCTGGCACAGGGATGAAGCACAACAGTGAGCGAAGCTTGATGCTACTTTTTTGAATAACTGTTCTTTCTGGAGAGAGTCCAGACCAGGATTAAGTATAGACAAACAACATGGGAAGATCAGGCAGTACAGATTGATAGGAGTTTAGTTTTCTGAACAGGTACGTTCATCCTGCTTAACGCATTCCTGCCTTCATTTTTCTGTTTTTTCATTTCACTGCAGGCTGTTCTCGTGTCTTACTTGCGAATTCTACGTCCCACATAAAGGTTTTGTAGAACCTCAGGCTGCTGCCAGAGTTCTTGTTAAAGCTTGCTATTTGAGACGTGTTCCTCACATTCAGGAATAACATTTTTTTTGTTTTTTACTGGGTGATATCAAAGTTTCATTTACACTTGATTTGCTTTTTGTACCCTCATACTTGCTATAATCTGTGGGAAAAGTGTAATGAGTAGCCCAGACTTTGTTTGGGTTCTCACTGCTGTGTTTGTGTGTCCTCAGGCATGCTGCTGGCGGGGGTCCTCCTTAGAAACATCCCCATGTTGACCGAAGCAGTCTTCATTGATTTTAGAGGGTCGTTCTCCCTGGGATTGGACGTATTGGTATGTGACTCATTCTGCTACTCCACGTGTGAAGTGCTAGTGCACCAACCTTTATGATGAGTTTGGGTGGTCCACATAATTTCTGAGTTTACTACAAAGAAGCTGCCCTCACATGAAGTATGTGACCTATCACCAGCCAGTTCATTCTGACACCACGTGAGCATGGAGGACCAGTGCTTTGGTCCATCCCAGCAGGTATACAAACCTTAATTCCAGAAAAGCTGGGACAGTAAAATAAACGCAAATAAAAACAGAAAGCAGTTATTTATATACTCCGCTAAACACCATTGGGATTAACTGGAACCAGTGAGCCAGACCTTCTCATCCAGCATCAATGAAACAATGAAAAATAAGAGGTGATGAACAAAAACCCCACCCCTAGTGCTACAGTGCCTATATTAAGTACTGTGGTAGTTTCTGCTTTTTAAATTTATGAAGTGTGACAGTTGACAGTCAGTATAGCGCTGCATAACCAAACCTGTTGGACCACATAGGCCCTATTGTTTTTACATGATAAAGTGACCAGTTGTTGATGACCACCTGAACTCAAAACTAGTAGTTATTTCTGATGAAGATCATCGACTTTACGGGTTGATAAAGCTCTGAATGCATTTTCGTTCTGTGTGTTTGCTAAGCCGGTTTGTGATTGTCAGATGCTCACCTTCAGATGCAAATATCAGATGCAAATCTGGTTGCTACCTCAGTGACTGCTATGCTCATATATGCTAGGCTATGAGCTAATATGTCATAGTATGTTCCATCCTGCTTTGCACAACTGAACATATTCTCAGTACTGTGTACTGTCTGTGTTCTGATTTGTATTTATTGTACTGTATTGTCTGCACTGTGTGTGTTGTATTGTTTTGCACTTGTGTTCCTGTGTTGCACGATTGTTCTGGAGGCATGTTGTCTTGTTTCACTGTGTACTTGTATATAGCTGAAATGAGAATAAAGCCACTTGAACTTGAACTTGTGTGTTTCAGGCAGTCAAGAAGTTGAAAGTAGTGCGTGTGTGTGCAGCGATGGGAGCCTTCCTTTATAGAGGCATCCAGTGAGGCACTGGTCTCTCACTTCTTCATGGACCTGCCCTGGAAATGGAGCTTCATACTGGGGTAAATGTGATTCTGACAGAATAAAAACTTTCACAGACTGTTTGAGCTTAGCTTGTAGTGCTACCTTTTCCTCATTAGTGGCACTTCAGATTACCGAATACGCAGGATTATTAGTTAAGAGTTCAAGAATGCGTCAGTGATCTGAAGGTAACAGTTGAACTACATAGATTTTGCAATGTTAGAACTGATTAAAATTGATCCTGATGTGTTCGTTCCTCCGGTCACATTTGTGCATTTAATGTACTGAATAGGACTGTGATGAAAATTGAGATGCATTGAGTTGATTGCAAAAGAATTTTAAGTGAATTTAATTGTTCTGAGGATAACTGATGATTTATTAAGCTGGAATTCTGAAAATAATGGAATTCCCCATTCAGTTAGATGATCAAATATCCGTTAGAGAGTGATATTTAAACAAGACTTAAAAGTTATTCATTGATATATATTGTGCATAGTTTGGTTAAGAGGCCCCTCAGCCAACATGTCCAAGAGAGCCCTACATGGAATTTACCTGGGTTTATTGGGTTTAAGCCTGGCTTAAGCTCAGAGTGGGAAAATTGACTGGGTACCAATTGGACTTCCCATTAAAACTGTAGGGTTTCAATTGGGCAAGCTCAGTTGGGTCTCTAGTGGGCAAAATGTTGGGCTATGTTTGGGCTATTCATGTAATTAACTTTAAACTAGCTGGGTTTTACATGGGCTTGCCTAGGTAGGTTTTTGTGGGCTATCTTATGGGTTTTCACTGGGCTCCCCATGAGAAAACATCAGCCTTAAATGTGCAAGCCCAGATGGGTTATTTCTATACTTCCCCACAGCTTGTTGTTGGGACCTGTATGGTCTATCCATGAATCTATTTGGGTGGTAAATGGACCTGCCCAACTTACATTGACTAACCAGTGATATTTAATCAGTGAACAAAATATCTGGGTGTAAATTGAACTTTATAAATATCATTAAATACATTAGAAGAACATTCCAGCTTTGTGTTAAAATGTCTTTTTGTCGCCCCCTGTAGGCTCCACCTGGTTCAACATCCTTCGAGGGCTTTTAGGGATTTTAGGAGGGATGGCCGTCGGTTCAGCCTTTGGTTTATTTCCTCGTTATTTCCCCATTGAAGACCAAGTGAGCACACTTATCCACAGGATTCACTCTTCAGAGCTACTTGTTTAACTGGAGTTAGTTTAGATAATTTTTGCCACTCTTTTACACTGCAAAAATGAATAATCGTGTATCTTTATGATTATCTACTAATGTTTTTCTCATGCAGAAAGATCTAGCAGTAAAGCACTCGTTCTTGCTGCTGGGCCTGTCTGTGTTTGCTGTGTTTGGCAGTAATGTTTCCCAGGCTTGGGAGGACTCTGTACACGGGTGCTGGCCTTCTTTGCTGGAGCTGGGTGAAGAAAGGCCAAGGTCGGAGCCCCCCTAAGAAAAACCCTCCACTACACTATTTCAAAATGTTTGTATCTAAAAACTTTACCATTTTATTTTCTCATTTTTCTTGTGATTCCTTTCTTCTACTTTGCCTTATGATTTTTTTTTCTTTCTGGTTTGCTCTCCTTTTTTCCCACACACTCACCACCACTCCCTCCCTCTATCTCTTATTCTACCTTCACTAATTAGTCACATGAACATTGTGAAAAGAACATTTTGCCTGGTCTCTGTGCTGAGAAACAGCTTCAGTTAACCCTTTACACTGTGTGAAAACATCTCTACTGTAGTACCGCTTTAAAGGTCACACTGTCATACTGTGAACTCTGTCAGTTTTACAGCTGTTAACCACATGCAAACAATTCCTTACATACACAAGCAGATACACTGTTCTACTAGGATTCAATCAAATATACACATAAATATTTCATTTTCATTGCGACACAAATGCTTCCACTATAATAAGGGCACTTCTCACTGACATTAATCCCTTAAAGTCAAGTCAAGTAAAGTCAAAGTTCATTTATATAGCCAAGAAACTGAACAGTGCTGCTAACGCTGTGCACTGAAGCTAAACCAGGCGGTGATGTACATGGTAGGACAATATGGCCTCTCTACAGCCATTTTTCCAAAAATATCACCATGTTAACATTTACACCTTGTATTCAGTCAAACAGAGTAAAGTCAGCATAGATGGACTTTGTGTCAGACTGCAAAACCTCCTTCACTGCCAGCTTGAGTCGCTTGTTAATTAGTGCTGCAGCTACACTTGGCTTACTTCACACGGTATCAGCGGGTATCGGAATGTAGGTGAATTTATATGAGTGTGAGTAAATGAGTGTATCAGACCAATACCAGTATCAGTATCACCCCTACTATAGGTGCACAGTGCACAGTGCACCCCTACTATAAGCACTGCCCTCCCATTGCTGATTGTGAAAGATTAGAAACTTACCAGTGAAAACTAAACTTGAGAAGTTAGCACTAACCAGAGCACTAAACAATGCTCGCATGCACCGGAACCTTCTTGTTACACACACTTGTTTGGTTTACATAAAATGCATAATATCAGTTGCTTTCACTTACTAAAAATATTAATACTGAGTGTAATACTAAGAATAAACTGGCTTCAGTGGCTGTGAGAGCCTTTCAGGTGCAGTCAGTCTTACTGAAATAACACTTTTTTAAATAAAGTTCTGAGAACGTTTATCACTCGCTACACAGGAAACGTGTGTGTGTGTGTGTGTGTGTGTGTGTGTGTGTGTGTGTGTGTGTCTGTTTTCAGACCTGTGGCTAGCAGCCCTCTGCATCACCCTGACTGTGTGAATTTCTTTACCTTCCTCATGGTGCTGTGCTTTAACTTTAAAGAGAAGCTGTTTATCGCTCTGGCCTGGATGCCTAAGGCCACCGTTCAGATAAATAAAGGACTACAAATCCACATCCTTCACTTCCATGCCCTCAAATTTTGGAGGAGCCTGTCTTGCTAAATGACGCTGACCACACCTAGTTATCCTTTGAGAAATGGCCTACTAATTAAAAAGAGGAATGTGAGCACTCATGCACTTTTGAGAGTACTGTCTTGTAGTGAGGAGAAACTGAAAATATTGGGCCAAAAGAATAAAAATGACAAACAGCAAAGGTGTTCATTTTTTAGGGCTGCAGGGATCCATGTTTAAAAATAAAGGATTTTTTCTTTTCAGTGTCTGGAAATTGTTTCTCAGCCCAGAATAATCATTTTAGTACATCATTAGCTGAAACTGTCTGTCTCTGCAGGCTGCTATTGGCTTGACCGCTCTGGACATGGCGCGCTCTAAGCAGGAGGAGCAGATGCAGCAGTATGGAATGGACGTGCTGACCGTGGCCATGCTGTCCAACCTTATAGTCCTATTGGAGCTCTGCTCATTGGCCTGTGCGGACCCCACTTGCTGCAGAGACCACAGAATCCTGAATGGGGTGAGACGCGTCCTCTTGGATACTTAAACACATACATGGACATTTTTGCTTGGTCGCATACATTCCCATTCACTGAGAACACGTGTGGAGTCTATAAATTGAACTGAGACGGTCAGTCCTGCATATTCAGTTGATGAGTCAAATGGAGCCCTTGTTAAAGTGTGAAAGCTGATAAAAATTCAGCTGAAGGATGAAGCTGTGGATCAACAGTGTCTGTGGATTCATGAATTTTTCCTCAGTGCTAATATTACCTCTCTACAGTCTTTTGAAGTAGACCACGGCTTATTGGATTTGCATGACTGGAGAACAGTGTTTGTTTATTGTACTGTCTCTCGCTGGAACAATGAAAGGCTCTTTTTTCCTTTTTCAGACTTTGAACTAGTCATTCTTTCAGAGAGTTTGAACTGCCAAGTGGAAGTCACATTTAATCGTTGTCATTTTTACTTGAAGGATATTAACCTAAAGTTTGCTATGAATAGGATTTAACAACGGAATACAACCTGTTCAAGGGACATTGCAAAGTCAAATTCCTTGCTGTTGCCTTTAAGTGTGGACAAAATGCCAAAGTATAACACTTGTTGGTGTTGTTTGCAGACTCTTTGTAAATGATCGTTTGCAAAACAGTGATTGATATGCATCTCAGCCAGTCACAGTCATCTCTAAGCAATGCTTCCTTTGTCATGCAAAGGAAAGACTCCAACAAAACTTAGCGTAACAAACCTGCAGTGAGAATTCCACTGGCAGTAAATTAGTTAGAATTATTAGTGAAAGAGAGGTGCAAAGGTCTTACAGAGGAACCTACTGGCTCTTATCTGGGTTACTGATCTTAATATGGTTTCTAACAATAAGATAAATAATAAAGTAGTTGTTAGAGGCGGGAAAAATAATCGATTCTTAGATGCTTCATGATTTCTCTTGAATCATTCTGAATTGATGTACAAAACATCATAATCTGATTTGGATATAGGCCCTATATTTCCCTTACTGTATAATAAATAATAAATAATGAATAAAGTAGGAAACTTTGTGCTGCCCAGCTTGGAGGAAGAGAATTTGCATGAGCGAAAAATTGCAGGATCTCACTAATGCATATATACATATATATATGCTGCATTCTCATGTTGGCATTGAAAAAAACATCATTCCGCACCTCAATGGTAGTGCACGATTGATGGCAGCATAAAGTCACACAAAACATTGGCATGCTGACAGCGTTACTGGGGAGAAATTTTTTGTCTAGAATGTAACAACGATTCGTTTGACATCAGTGGCTCACAAAACAGTCAACATCTGAACTCTTGACGGAACGCTCCGCTTACTATTTTGCTCAACAGGCAGAAGTTTCTGGCGTGGATCTGTTGAAAACAATAGAATATCTTGTTTGCCGTCCTCCGTTGCGGCAAAACCTAAAATGCTTAATGAATGAATAACTGTGAATCTGCAGCATTCAAAGTAAAAAAAAATATGCTGAGCGTTTCCTGCGGAGTGTGACATTCCATCTGAGGAAAATTCTCAGTATTTTTCCTACAGCTTCAGTGTCCTGATGGTTCAGATGAATTAAAATGATCAAAATGTAAAACTTCATGGTTTCCCGGGCATTAATAGCTAAAAGTGCTGCTATAACAATGGCAAACACCTCGTATTCAGTTTGTTTTTTCTCTGCATGCTGTTTCTTTCAGCTGTGAGTCAGTTGTGCTTTCAGTGCCAGAGACTCCGGTGATCTACTAGAGTGCAGTCTGAGGCTTCTGGAACCTTCTTGAATGGTGCTAACAGGGCATGGAAGTGACCAGTTAAAGCAGCATCCTCAAAAGCTCCTGTCGGCTCTGCAGGGGCTTTCAAAGCGTTTCCGTGATAGACACTCTTTTGTAAGATGTCATCCACTTGGTGTGGGGAAATCATGGTGTATTTTTAGATGCACTGTAGCAGTCTACTCACAGTCCTTTAACCCAACACCTACATTCCAGGCCAGTTTTGAATACTCTATCAACAGAGGCTTTTGAGGAAATGTCATGAATGCAGCACCGGTCAAATGTTTAGACACACCTGACTGAATGATGTTTTTCATCACCAAGAGATTTTGATCTAAAATCTTGAAATTTTATATGGAAAATATAATAGTTATGTTTGAATAGCAAATGAGATGCTACTTTGAAGAATCTAAAACATACCAGTTTTTGATTGACACTTTTTTGGTCACTGCACTATGTGTAGGTGTGTCCAAACCAGGCCCTGAGCTTTTGCCATCCAGTGCGTGCAACCAGAGGGCCATTTGAGAGAAGCTCTCTGTTCACTTCCATTCATTCCAGGCTGTTTTCAGTCCAAAAATAAAGGCAGATCTGAGCCGTTTTAAATTACCATATGACTGGAAACAGCAAGGTGAATGAGTGCGGTTTACGTATACTTTAAATGGTCCAAACTTTTAACCGGTACTGTTTGTTAAAGGGGAATTGCACCCGCTTTTCTAGTTCTGCACAATTGAATGGTTGAGATGTAAACAAAGGTCTTCAGAACACTGAAGTGAAACTTGCTGACATGGATTTCTTTACAGTTGTCACGATAGCAGAATTTCTAGCTTATTCAGCTAACTTTACCCTTAGTTTGGTCTAACCCTAGATTTCTCATGACAGTGGATCACTTTTTACTAGGCTACTTCACCATGGCAACTTTTGCTGACCACTCAGTCTGCTCCAGGGTTGGTTAAGTTCAGGATTTCAGATCATAAACAGCTCTTGGACC